TGTATTTGTCCATAGGTGCGGGACTATAATGTCAATTTGGACTGACCTGATGGTGTTGTTACCATAGCAACCCAAGTCACCAATTCCCAAGTCGTCTGCCATCATCAGTACAATGTTGGGCTTCCTGACGCTCTCCTCCCCGACGACATTGCTCGCTAGCACCAGGAACAGGATGAGAGGTGCTAGCTGGGAAGGCCTTAAAGAAATTGCAGAGGGAAAAATGTTTTAGAGTCAGAAAGCAATACAGCAACTCTCTCACACTCTTTTCTTATGTAGAGCTTGCCGACCTCAGCAAAATATTTGCAGCTTGGAATCATATACCTCGGATCAAAGGTTTACAACTTGTTAATAAAACACTACATTGTACCGTATAAATGGGCATTATGATTTTGAGTAGCGTGATGGCTCTATGTTAGAGGTTAACCTCTTAAAAAAAGCTGACTATTTGTGTCAATACCCCACTAGTAATGGGACATTGTGATTTCCTGGGCATGTTGAATAAGAGATCAAGAGAACTAAATGTCGATCCATCAATTTTCTAAACCGCTTATCCTCACAAGGGTCACGGGAGTCCTGGAGCATGTCCCAGCAGTTTTCAGGCTGTAGGTTGCCAGCCCTTAGCAGACCACGCTCAAACTCACACATGGGGACAATTTAGAGTCTAAATTAGAGTCAAACTCATTTTTGTTACCGTTTCCGTTGGCGGGCCGTTATGACTGAAACTGTATAAAAAGTCAATCATTGCGGTGTATTCCACTATTATTTAAGTTACTGTAATGAGGGGTTTGGTAACAAGAAAATGCTTACAATATGTCTCTTATTACATGTGAGAATTTAACATTTTGGTAGAGATTTTAGCAAACATCATGGAAGTTGACATTTTTGATTTGCTTTCGCGGGCCACATAAAATGATGTGGGGGCGGGCCACATCTGGCCCCCGGGCCTTGAGTTTGACACCATTGATTTAGAGTGTTCCATGAGCCTGCCATGCATGTTTTTGCAATGTGGGAGAAAACCGTAGTTTCGAAATCAGCTACGAGTGCAAAAGTTTATGATGAATACAGTTGTGCCACACAAGCCATAAAAAAGCAAGTTTTGTTGAGGTGACGAGCCAAGCGACGTTAAACACTGAGTACACTGAAGCTGGACTTAAGACCTTCTCCTACTGACATCTGTTCAAATACGTTCATTTGTCTTCTTACCATCGATGGAATCATGACGAATATGAGTGCATATAAATGTTGGCGCTGCTGACAGAGTCCAATGAACTTTTCCCCCCTTTCACGTTTATTTGTTAAACTATGAACTTACCACATTGCTGCAAGTTCGGCTGCAGTAGATGCTGCAAAGGTTCGGCGGCAGTAGATTCTGCAAAAGTTCAGCTGCAGTCGATGCTGCAAAGGTTCGGCTGCAGTAGATTCTGCAAAGGTTCAGCTGCAGTAGATGTTGCAAAAATTGGACCGCAGTCGATGCTGCGCGGTTCAACTGGGTAGTCAAGCAAGGCGGAAAACACGCGACTCTTCCGGAAAGAAAGCGTACGTGAGCAGAGGGCAGCCATCTTACGTTGCCATAATCACTGGTTACTTGTTTTGTTTCTTTCGCTAAAAACACTGCTGTCATTGCAGCACGATCCCTTTATGGAGTAATAAGAACGTCTTAGAAACGGACTTCACTGTTAGTATCGTCCATTCAGAGTATATTATCTCAGTATCGTAAATTTGAATTGTGACTGACCAGAGGTTAGGTTTACAAATTGCGACGAATTTTACTTTCATTTTATTGCTGATGGTTCTGCAAACATGATTTTTTTGTCAAAACATTTCTCAAAACACACAAGGAGGAATTGCACAATAAATGTACACAATTATGATGCCGTTTTCAGTTTACAGCACCGCTGTACTTTTATTTGAATTATTTCCGACATGTGAAACATTGTCGACTGTGTTTGACATCGGCAGTTACAAACTCATAACAATACTTTTTTTATACAGTGTAAAAAGTAATGGAATAAATATGCAAGACTTATTTTACATGAGGGTCATTGGAAGGTAGAGTATTTTATTTTGAAGGCCATTTTGTCCTCGTTTGCCACCTTCGTCCTATATTGTTTGACTAACATCTCAGAAGCGCTGAAAAATTGACCACAATGCATTGCATGAACCACACAAACATAAGAGAGACAGACTGACTCCCACCGAAACTGCTTGTTTTATTCACCTCCAACATTATTTACACCACAAGTGCTTGATGACAAACATGAAGTATACAGTTGCTACATAAAAAAAACACAGACTAATCATAGAAAAGAAATGATATGTCTCAATATTTTTAAAGCAAATCGGAGATTTATGTTCATAACCTTGTTGCTTCTCAGATATGCTGATAAGGCAGGACTGGTCCACTGATGACGTAACAAAGTCAAGCCGATGTGCTTACATTCTAGGATGACAGCTTGAAAGTTGGAGTTTTTGGACGTACTTTTGTTTTAAGATACAGTGGCAATTAGGGATGGGCATGATAATCGATTTGTGGATCATTAGGAATTACCAATTAATAGTGGCGTAACATCTGAACATAGCCTTACTGAAGTTACTCTTCCCTCCACCTCTGGATTCTCTGATGCCATGTCCTTATACCCTGTATTTAACGTGCACTGTAAGCAAGTAGCTCTTAGGCGCGGCTGCTACACATGTGCATTTGGTTGCAAAACACGAAATACCGGTTTGATGCTGTATTATTTCTTTTTTTTTAGAATGTCCAATCAAACAAAAACGCAGGTGACTTTCAGTGTCTCCGAAATTTGCTCTTTGCACAGCAAAATGACTGAGAAAAACCCTCGGTCACACCTTCTGTCTTACAGACTCCCATTGGTTAATTGTCCTTGCGCCTAGTCATATTGAATAGAATATCAATACAATAAGCAGGATTAGAAGGGTTATTGGCCAGATGATTAATTGATCATTTAAATATTCCTGATGGCATATTAAGGAAAAATACTCAAATTAGCCCATCCCTTTTTATTGCGATTTTCATCAAGGCATTTTAAAAAAGGAGCTTTGACCGGGCATTTTGCAACGTCGAGCTCATTCACTGTAAATAATTAACATTCGATATCACAAGTAATTGCGGCCAGACTGTTTGTAACAGCCTCTGTCGTGTACAGTATTGCAGCCGTGTGGCACTTTTTCCACAACACCCTATTTAACCGTTTAAGCAGCAAGCAAGGTTTAAAGGGAACACAGCAACCCTAAGGCAACAGAAAAAAAAAGACATTCAGATGCTAGCTGTTTGTGCTACAGTATTAACTCGATCGTTATCGACGCAGCCCCTCATATTTAAGCAATTTGCCACAAGAACAAGCACTAAAGATACCACACGCTATTCAAAAACAATCAGTCTTGAGGCACCTCACGATAGACAATGGATAGGATTTGAATCTGAAAAAAAAAATGGTAGTAATGGCAGAAAAAGACAGCTGGCTTGAACGGAATAAAGAGGCACACATATGAGTCATCGGCAGTAGACACTACAATGCACTCGCAGTCCACAACATGAGGTGCACTTGCATGAGTTTAAGCAGAGATTTTATAACATGTGCAGGACAGACACTAAACCACATGTAATTCAGGAAAAAAAAAAAAATCAAATAAATACAAACCCAATTCGTTTATCAGCTTGATCATTCACTATCTCGCCTTTGTAGCGTATTCAATTAAATATAGGCTGCACATGATTTGCACATCATTGCATTCTGTTTTTATTTAGGTTGAACACAAAGCGCCGACGTCCAGCGGAATTGGGTTTGTAAATCAGATTTTGAAGTTTCACGCGCCGACATCATCGGAATTGGGTTTGTAAATCAGATTTTGAAGTTTCATTCCAATTAAATAATTTTGAATTTAAAATAAAACAGGAATTTTGTCAAATGTCATTTCAGTCAACCAATTATTTGATGAAATAAATGACTGCCTTTCAAGCTCATTTTTCAATGAACCAATTTTAGCGGTGGGAAAATGTGCCCACTCTTGTTCCAAACATTATGTTGGAGTTAAGGTTATCTCCAGTTGGGCACGGGACTTTAAAAAAAAAAAAACAATCAGACTTTACATTCTAACTAACCATTGTCACACGTTACACACATCGCTTGATCAAACAATACCACCCCACAATGTACAGTTAGGTTCATGCAACAGCTACTCTAAATCAATATGGTAATTATTGTTTTCAGGCAACTTTCAAATGTAGTATTTTTACAAACAAAATAGGGGGCGGGGGCGGAATAGAGCATGTAATTATTACTTAATGAAGATATCACATTTTTCACTCTCATAGCTGAAGAAAAATGGGTTTTAGTCGTTGAATGTTATGCTCAGACTCAAATTTGACGATAAATAAAGGCGAAATGCGATGTGAAAGTCTCCATTCTGAGCAGACAAAAAGTCGTCAGCTCAGTGAAATCGCAAGAGTCCGCATTAAAGCAAATGATGTTTCTCAAGCTGCCGGGCCTCCTCCGCTGAGGAGTTTCCCGGTTCGACTGGACAGACTGACTGTACCGTAATTCAACCGTGCAGGTGAATCTCTTCAGTTGTGGCTTGAGAGTGCCAAGTGCTAAGTGCTCGACGGGCTTTTAAAGTGAACATCTCGTTCAAGAGTGGACATTCAGGAGACATTCAGTGTGTCTGTACACGGGACAAGCCAGATAGGGACGGTGAAAGGCACTCTAGAGAAACCAGACTGACAACATCGAAGTACAAAACTCACAGTGACACATGACCTCAGCCACTAAAACGCTATCGGGACTTTTTTCTTGTTTTTTTTTTACGTCTTAAAATACACCAAAATGAGCAAAAGTATTGAGACGCCAAACTAGAAAATGGAAATGTTGCAGTGTCTTCTCTTTTGGGTGGTGCTATTGTCCATCAGTCCATAAACATCAACCAATCATGCCTCTTGGAACAGAAAAGGAGCCTTTGCCAAAGTCTTCCAAGTTCAAAATGTCTTGTTTGGAACCCACATCAGTGCTGATACTTTTTGCTCGTCGCAGCAGGGTTCCCAAACTTAGCTAAAAAGAGTTGCAAGTCAGTTTCACCGAGTCCCCCGATAAAAATCTAATTTTGATTGAGATGCTGTTTTGAAGCTAAGGGAGTCACGTACAGTACTGTATGCTGTAAAAGACACTAGTCTTTTTTTTTTTGTTCATTAATCATTAGTTTATGTACAGTATATCTCAATGTTTAGGCAATACATGACGTATTTCCTGATTTAATGGATCAACTCTCACCTACTCCAAGTCATTTGTCTTTGCCACAATAGAGCAACTATTGCATCTGAACTTCCGTTTCCCATCCACTAACTACTTGAATCGCTCTGCACACACATGCATTGATAATCCGGCCGAATCTGAGCATTTTTCTTCCCTTTTGAACAACATGAGCAAAAGGCCTGATTGTGAGATGTCTGTGAAAAATTGAGTGTACAGACTGCGGCATGTCACGAGTGATTTTTTTCCCACCCCGTCTGTATATCTTTGTGTGGGGCAGGAATTCCACACTTGCGATTTTATTTTGATTTTTTTAACTTATCATGTGTGTCATAACAAAAATCGGTTCAGATGTGCGTACACTGCTTAACATGTATTTTTTGTTGACATAGTTTTCAAAGGTAGTCAATTACGTCGTCAAGATTGTGGCTGATTTGAAATAAACCCTGTCAACATACAATAATGGAACTGACAATAAAAGGACATCACTCACAGTGTTGTTTTTTTTTCCCAATACCTATAAATTGATGGGCGTGCCTCATTAAAATTATCAAAAGTATTTGGAAAAACTTGGACAAACAAAATGTCTGGCCAATTGTTGATGCAAATTAAGTTGCTTTGTTGCTTTTACCCACATCCTGTGCTAATGAATACACACACGTACACACTTTCAGTCCCTTTTTGAAACACACACACACACGCACACACACACACACACACACACACACACACACACACACACACACACACACACACACACACACACACAGCCGCCAACCGGGGGCCTCACAGTAATGCAGCTCCACAGTGGATAAAGCCTAACAGTGAGCTTGCCACTTTGCTTGACTGTGGTTGGTCCAGGTCGAGTCACATGATCAACTCCGCTCTATGAGGAGTTCAGCAAATTGCTAAGGACTGCAAAAAGACCCCAGAAAAAAAAATGATGTACAGCAAATCTTGGTTGTGTGGGCATGTGTGTATGTGTAATGTGGGCGCTTGTCGTACCTTGAGGGTCCGACTGGGCCTCGCCTGCGTCGGCTTTGCGAGCAGCCTCAGGGTCTTCTTCTGAAAGAGTAAGACAAGGCGTTAGCCAATCAAATGCCTTCTCATCGGGACACATCCATACCCATGAACCTTTGATCTCGGAAATAATATCTTTACAGTACTTGCAATCGCCTCACTTCATTTCAGTCACGTGAACATGCATGTCAGGAAGAAAACCTGGATGTCCAAATATGGTCATATTTGTATTTGCATACAATTGGTCTTTTGGTTATTTTTACACATGAACAAATCTTGAGAACAAATCTATTCACTCTCTTGAACAGGCAGTTTCGGTCAGTCATCTTTTTGTTGACATGATGTGTGTATGCTGGTATACCTTTTGCGTCTGTACCGGGTGAATTGTTCAAGTTGACTGTCAACAAAAAGGGTGCTGAATTGACAATATTGACACACAATGTTTGCGTCTCTGTTGATGGTGATAACACAATTTTCCCACCTGACTTTGCAGAAAAACATCTTGTTTCACATCATGCTTTTGGTTGTGTGCCGGTATTTGTTTGAATGACAAATTCTTTAAGAGTAGCTAGTTGAAACGTATGATACATAATATGCAGATTTGCATTATAGTGGTTGTACCACTTTGAGAAGTGTTTTTAATATTTAGCTCCACTTGTGTAACTAGTGCCAATCAAACCAGAATAGTCTCTTTTAAATGCATTTTAATTACAGCTCTTCTACTGTAAGCCATTATTTTGTGCAGATTTAGTTAACGCTGACACCAGCACGTGAATGTGCACTAATTATGTGATAATTGCGGCAGTCTCGGTAAAGAGACTCGATTGTCTGTACCGTGTAAATTCTTGAAGCAGAGTTTCTTCTTCTGGTAGGTATAATATGCGGTGCCTGCACCCACAAAGGCCACACCCACTGCACACAAAATTGCTGCCAAGGAGCCCGAGCCGGATTCTAAAAGCCAAAAACAAATATATTCAAATCAATCATTGCAGCCTCCGGTGCGTCTGTGTGGTCACTCATACAAAAGACAACAGAATGTTATTATAACAAACAGAATCAAATATTTTGGTGATATTTAAAACGATAAAGACAGTCGAAAGGAAGTTGGCAATTTTAAAAACAAGATTTATGAGCTTAGAGTAAATGCAGAAGAAATTGTGTATGGATGTTTTATTTTGTTAACTTTATTAAATTAAAGGTACCTGTATTATGTATAAACTACTTATTGTTTAAATGTATTTTCAACTTTTTGAAGACTTATGCTCAATGAATGAAATTATAGCAGGCCGGCCAGTATAAAGCATGCATATTAATGTGTCAAATATATGAAATTAAATACGTGTGAGAACACATGCATAGTGCACAACGTTTGCAGGTAATTGTGTAAAGTGCCTCATAACAAACGTTGGCTGTTTTGCATGCGCGCATTCCGCACAGATTACAACACTTTCACCACAGGTTAAGTTAAAGCGGTGTAATTCTATGAATCACCGCGAGTAAAATCTCAATGAAAATGTCTGCCGTGTTGTTTGTCAGAGTATGAATGAGAACAATGCATGTCCTGTACTTATCACAGTGTTGTATGCCAGTTCCCTCTCGCAGTGTAATTATCACACATTAAAAAAACAAAAAACCAAAAAAAAAAACGTAATTGTGGCGACATGTCTCCCGCTGAGACACAGTCACCATGGCAACAGCGATGGGAATCATTTTCATGCTGAGTCACACACATCATCTAAAAAGCACGCATGCGCCGTCTGACTCAATATCAAATCTGCATAATTTAGCTTGTTGGGAGAAAAAAAAAGTGATTTTGGTTGCCATGCCAAGATGATGGCAGGATGTTGTGCCGCCACAGCAACACAATGACGGCGAGGAAGGATGTCGGGGTGGAACGGGGTGGAGGGTGGAACGGTGAGTGAGGGAATGAAAAAAAAGGATTCAAAGACAGCCATTCGCAACAGGTTGACATGATGTGTCAGAAAAGATGAAGTTGAATACGCATGTGGAGGTGGAATGAGTCGTGAAAGGCACACGTGGATGACACACACATCTTTGATAGAGAGCGATGGCTGTGATTCGGAAGATGTTGGCGTACTTCGTGTTGTGGCATGTATTTGATTGAAAAAACTTTGTTTTTCCATTCAAATACATTTTGGTGGCCAAATAGAAATATACAGGAGTCCTTGGCATACTGTATTACTTCATTCGGTTTCTATGGCGGTGGTGCAAACCAAATTTGTTGGAACGCACAGTAGTGTCGCTTACATATGCTAGCATAGTGCTAAAACCATAATTACTCTAAATATTTGCATGGACAAACACTTCAAGGCCATGATAAAAAAGGAAAAACATTCAGTACAGTGGTGACTTAGCATACCCCTTTGTGCCACATATCATTAGGCCGCTGCGCAAACTAGCTCATTTTGTGACGTTTGTAACCTCGAAAATGCCATATAGAGAGAGGACTTGCTGAACATGAACATCAATGACAGTTGTTTCACATACTGTAAGTCACACTTTCAAATTGTTGCCTGTTGTCAAAACAAATCATTTCCGCTTCCCTGTGGAGTACGAATGCTAACGCTAAAACCAATACAAGCAACAGAGTACAGTCAACTTGCACCTAATCAGAAATTCTGTGTGGAACCTATTCTCACCTATTCCGACATTTTGTGCTAGTTCTGTAACAGGCAACTAAGATGTCACATGATGGCGACAAAGCACTAGCTAACAAAATCGCTGCCAAGAAAGTACAGTATGTTGAGGTGATTAATCAAAACATCTGTAAGCCATTGATTTTTTTTTAGGGTTATGTTGTCAAATGAAATTGGCATGATATTAAACTGCTTTGGTGTCTTAGTTTGTAGAATATTTTCTTTGTAAACTATTGATATAGGCAATTTTTTTTTTTAAATAAGGGGACGTCAATTACTCACGTTTACACAGAGGGCTTTACTGTATGAATGCATTCATCTGTATTAAACACGCAGAGACAAAGGCACATGCTGTATCTCAAAATATCAAGTATCACCGTCACAACTGACTGAATTTCTTCTCGTCTTTCAGCCAGTTACAGAGACAATCTAAGCTTGCCGGTACCAGAATGTTTTACGATAGCTCTGGTGTCCGCGCTTGCTCCAACATGCTGAAGGGAAAGCGTAGGCTTGAAACGCTTCAGTGATGAGCGAAACTCGGGGTTGCACAATTTGCATGCAGCCATTTGATGTATCTGTGAAAAACAGCTTGCAAATTTATCATTGGAATTCTTGATGAAAATCAGTAAGCTGAATGGTGTTTTTGTTGGACTCTTATTGTGAGAAGCACATTTGGGAAGTTGCTTAACGCTGATGTTATGCAATAAAGAATAAGGAAATGTTGGTGCTGCAAGTCTAACAGGAAGTACACAAGTAGTTGGTTACACACACACGCGCACACACACACACACACACACACACACACACACACACAGACACACAAATGGAGGGAACTCACCTTCAGCGTCGATTTCTGATGGAAAAAATGAAAAGTAAGAAGACATCAAATTCTGAGTAAACTAGCGTGACAGTGTTGTTTTAAATGTTGCTTAAAACACTGCTTGTGGTTAAAAATTCTTTTATGATAGTGAAAAATGAATGAAAAATGTTGTCTATACAGTGGTGCCTCGACATACAATTTTTAATCCTTCGGTCACCACGCTCAAAACATCTAAAATCATCTTTCCCCATTGAAACGAATGGAAATGCCATTAATTCGCTCCAGCGCTGCAAAGAACACCGCCATTTTTGTGTAATGTGTTTTTTAGTAAGAAAAATAGCACTCTACAGTATTCTATGCATACATGATGAAACCATATAGTCATGACATCATGGAATAAAATATAAGAAATTAAACCGTTTGTACCTTATGATAACTCAATGGGCATTGTGCTACTCCTTTTGGTGTGTGTGCCTTCGCCACCAGGAGGCATTATAATACACTGGTAAAATACACGTACAACTGACGATGAAACGAGTATTGTTACATGCTCTCTCTACATGTATTTCTACACCTTGTGCTCAAATACAACCTACCTACTACCGCATCATTTATGCTAGTTTCATTAGCCCATCAATAGCGTTTTGTATCGTGCTTTAGCATTACACAAGCTGACTTTTGTAAGATGAAGTTGATATAATTGGCGAAACTGCTGCTCGTTGTAAATTTCGCTGCCACCATAGCTATCGATCACATTTGCAATTTTACTTGTAACTCAAGGTAAAAAAAAAAAAAAAAAAAAAAAAAAGATGAGTGAAGGTTTGTAGCTCCAAAAACTCATAAGTCGGGTCACTCATCAGCTAAGGTACCACTCAAGTAAGTCCGGTAATTCAGGGGTGTGGCCCAATACTTTTGTACGACATATGATGGGGGACTGCTTACCTCCTCCTGTGGCTTCAGCAGCATGCGCTAAGGAGGAGGAAAAAAAGATGTCAATGTTCAAGAGCCTCGTTAACACATGTGTCGTCACGACTGCCTTAGTACCTGCGTCAACTTGTCCCACAATGCCACTAATGACAGAGCAGACGGAAGGAGTGCCTTTCACTCGATTATAATGATTAAACTGACCTGAATGACTCAGATTTCAGGTTTAGAATAAAAGGGCTTGGAGATTAAAAAAAAAAAAAGAACGCTTGTTCCCGCATTATTGTCAAAATGTTAAGTAAAAGAACTGCGTGGGAAGATATGTTAAATCAGTGTGATGCCCCTATGAGCTTTTGTATCTCACTTTCATGTTTAAGCTTGCTTTATGAACAAAAACCTTCTGATTCATTTTGTGCTCCTACTGCCAAGCTGAATTGACTTGAAGTGGACCAGTACTTTAAGAAAAAAAAAACCATCTCACAATATTTAGATAATTCTATGATTAATCCAAAATAATTATTGACTAATTTAACAATCAATTAGGTGTACATTCGTCAACAAACTGTTGCACCTCTAATCCATCGTGTTTAACATTACACAGCGGAGAGAACATTTTTAAAGAATATTCAACTCTTAAAAGTCATGCAGCTTAGAAACAGAGACAAATATCCCTAAGTCACTTCCCTATACAGTGCGGTGTCAGAATTCAACCATCATTTACCGCTAAAGGAAAACAGGTCAAGAGAGAACTGCTGATAAAAAGCAACATCGTCTTATTTCTGAGAAAATGTACCTTTCTCTTCACACATTCTTATAGTGTTCCCCTCTCAAGATTAATAAGATACTCACCCCCTGATCCCGCATTCTTGCTCCTCCCTGAATGGGCTGGCGTGTCCTGCGCGTTGCCTCGTGACAGAGCATCTTCCAAGTTAAAGCCTCCATCTGACCAAACACGTAGGGGTGAGAGAAAGGCAAAATTAATCCCCGCAGGTCACTTTTCATCCATCTCCACCCAAGTGGGATATTGTCCAGATGTTCCCCACAACTCCCTCGCCCGACCCCAATAACACGATGGTGTCTTTTCCCACCATCGCCATAGCAAGCTCACCCGTCCATCATCATGTTATTCTCCCCCTCAACAGTTGTAAGTGAAAGCCTCGCAGGGCTGTGCTCAATAAAAAGCCCGTAACAATAGCAGCGAAGGGCGTTGACCATGATTGTGTGAACTGGTGTTGACCATGGATTTGGGGATATTATCTGACAGCAAAGATACATTACAGATTCGTTCTGTGCTTTTTGGGGAAAACCCTAGAAGATTTACACAGCGTGTTCAGTGTAAGGTAAGGCAGGTCAAGGTCGCATCGATATATCATTTATGATTCATGGTTTTTTAGTTTCGGTTTCAAGCAGTGAATCCTGTTTTTTTTTGGGGGGGGGGGGGATCTTGGATGAAAGATAACTTTTATTTGGGACAAGTGTTAAGCCAGATACTGTCAGTCCCATGAGTTATGTCATGTCCATCCAGTAAGACATTGTAAACGATATCTCCTGTCGGACAAAAACTGGCGAGAACATTTTGTAGCTTTATGGATACCTTGTCGGCACTGCAGACGGTGAGAGTTGTGACGCTGTCTCCCATGACACACAATGGTATCGGTCATATTTAGGGTCACTGAAGTGAATGACCCAATGTAGCCAAATAATTCAGGTACAAATATGCCTTTAAACAGGTAGTTTGTGGTTATAAATACAAACTGTGGTATTTGTTAAAATTGTCTGTGTGCTCTATCAGTAGTACATTAGTAAAAATAAATAAATAAATAAAAAAGGGGGGCCTCAGGCAGCTGCTGAGATGATTCCAAAGGGACGCAGAATTAGCAACATTTATGCTCGGTGGGTAGGCTCATTACCTTTTTCTTTCGTTTATTATTGTACATTCCAAAAAATACAACTTCAAACCGATACCAATGTTATAGTAACATACCATAACAAAAAAGTCATTCAACCAACATTGCGGCTGTGACTCACGTTGACTTGAACTCAGTGCTAATGCTAGCTTAGTATCGCTAACATTGTTATTTTGTTGAAGATGGATATGTGACATGTGGATTTGATAATCACGCTTGTGCATGTTAGTCAGGGGCATGGCAACAGAAATGTTGGTGATAAAAAAATATAGCCTCATAAAACCATGCAGGACTTCTCATAGAAAGCCAGTCAACATGAAATGAAAATCATTTAACAAAATAACAAGAAGCATTGCCGATACAGTCGAGTCTTTTTTTTTTTTAAATGGCAAAACGTTTTGACCTTGGAAAAGAGTACGACTCTCCACTACTTCCGATGGGAGAAAAATAATAATTGTGAATTTAAGTACAAACAGAAGGTCAAGCAGCCTCAGGACTGCGTTGGACCTTTCAGGTTCCACAGAATTGTTATTCACGACTGACAAAAAGGAGGATATCCAGCTAGGGAGATTTTGACAAAGCACAGTTATAATATTTAACAGATGAATAATGGCTGAAGAGAAAACAAGGCGTGGAATAAAAAAAGAAAAAAAAAAAAGAAAAGCAATCAAAAATGGGCCTGAAAAGAACAGACTTGTACAGACAAATGAAGGGCGATACCGCCACAGTAATTAAGTCACACTGAGATGATTCAGAAGATTTTTGCTTCCAACATAACCACTCTCTCAATACAAGGTAAATTAACCACAACCCACCCATCTCATTACCTGTCAAGGTGATTTGTGTTATAAAGAGAACCTCCCAAAATTAGGTTTCGTATTAATGTGCTGAGAAAACAGGGAGTTGCCGTCCAATATGAAATAGGAGATTGCATGAGAACTGCATGTGTCAAAATGAATGATTCGCCAACATTTTTGACTTCTTTCATGCATAGCCATGGAGTCGGGTTTCAATATGACGTACTGGTGAAAATGCAGTACTTATTCAGAAACAAGAGCTCGCACGCAATAAACAAACGTGATTTTTCATTCATTTGAAGCTATGATTTCATAGTTTGCGGTTAGAGTGTTATATAGTGGTTAGCGCGTCTGCCTCACAGTTCTGACGTTTCGGTTTCAAGTCTGGGCTACGGCCTTTCTGTGTGCCGTTTCCGTGTTCTCTCTGTGCTTGCGTGGGCTTTCTCTGAGTACTTGGGCTTCCTCCCACATTCCAAAAACGTGTATGTTAGATTCATTGAAGACTCGAAGTCGTCCACAGATGCGAAGGTGAGCGTGTGGTAGCCGTGCAGTTAACTGAATCAAACCGTGCAATATGAGGATTCACCTTCACAATGTCTGGACATGCTACAGCCTAATTTTTTTCTGATCTAAGGGCCAATGTCATCTGTTTCCTGCGAAACACAGCATCCTTCAGTGTACCTACGGGGAATTGGACACAGCATGTGCAGCAATCCCATTGGGCTCTTTGGCCAACATTAACATTGACCAAGCTGTAATTTACTGTACACCCAAATGTCTAGAAGCTAACAGTCACCACGTTGAGCACCTCTTGTAATTGTCGAAGCAAAAGGTAACTTAGATTAATCTCGTAAGGTCTGGATGAATTTGGCATCAAAATATTTCTGAATGTTTTCTTTTTACTAATGTGTGTACATACAATATTTTGTCTGAGTGTGTTTTCTATGACGGCATAGGAAACATTTTAAAATGGTGTACTCTATTTACAAGTGTGGAGGTCGTGGGTTCGATTCCGGCTCCAGCCTCCCTGTGTGAAGTTTTCAATTTCAGCTTCATTTTTTTTTGTACAGACAGCAGCACTTTTGCCTGAAACTCCTCTGCAAATACCATCTTAACAGAGGCCACATCTGCTGCACAGGTGGCGCGTGTCGGCTAAAGACAGAGTTAAGATAATAACAAAGGACGTGTCTATTTCAGGTATTTATGCGAGAGGAAAATAAATTGAGGTACAGTGTCTATTAAATTGGATTCCACTCGTCTGGGATGGAAATTGCCAGTTGTTAAGATGCCTTGCGGAGAAGTCTCTGCCAACCAAAGTCGTTTGTTTAGAATTCCCTTCAGTCATAAGAATTTTCATGGCGACATCTGGAAGCCAAAAATGTCTGTGTCAGGTTTTTTTTTTTTTTTTAGTGGCTACTTTTTCAAATCTTTCAAAACGTGATGAAAGCATTAGATAGGTGATGTCGAGGACATGTCCTCTGTTCAGAGGTTTCTCAACCTTGACATGGGAAGCCTTCCTCGCACCGCTAACAAACCATCCGTCTTCACAGAGACAGAAGAGACGGATGGTATCTTCAAGAATTCCACTTTCCGATCATTTTTCTTGCTACCGTTTGTAGAAAATCTTACTCAGTACAAAACCCGATGACAAATAACACATCTGGAAGTGTATTAGTCTGAAACAAAACCAGCCATCCTCACCTGAAGGGACCTGGGCCTTTATTTCTGTGCCAACGTCCACCTCCACGCCTGCATGAGCCGACTGGTCATGTGGCACAGCTGCATCTGCTCCTGCTGTGCCTTCATCTTCAGAGCCATGCTGTGAAAATATTTTATTTAACATAGGGGAGGGATGTTAAAGCGGAACTACCCTCCCAACCTCTTTTTGCATTTGTGGACTAAAAATAAAAAAAAACTGAATAATTAATTAACGTAAGGGGTGGCCATCATAACGCAAGTAGCGCTTCGTGCGTCCGCTAACAGTTTTTAAGAGCGATGGATTTAATCGTAGGACGCTGTGTCCATCGTGCCTCAGATGGATATCACGTGGCGGCCATTAGAGGAAATGTAGAGAAAAATAGGATTCTCATACATCAACGTCTTGATGTGAAACAAAAACAACAACAAAAAAAAGAAATCCACATCGGGCACATTCCGCTGGCTGCATTTCGATGGCGATGTTATGATCATGGTTTATGATGTAGCTTTTGTACGTGGAAAGAAAAATAAATACGTAACCTGTCGTTCTGAAGATCTACAAACGGTCCTGTTTTCTTTGTAAATAAAGCGGGCGGGAACTGGTGAACATACTGTATGTCACATTCTCGTGAAAAGATTTATAAATGGCGACCCCGTATGGAGACGCAATGTTTTTGACATATTTTTGGAATACATACTTCTTAACTTTTAAGTGAACTGCATGCGATAAACAATGTATGCACATTCTTGGCTTCACCTTCCCCTTTAAATACAGTTTGTAATTTGTATTCAATGACCAAAGCAAAAGCAAGTTGTATAAATATAAAAAATGTAATAAAAGATGTCGGATGTCGTTTCCAGTAAACTTGCCAAGACTGCCATGAACTGACCTCTTCGTGGGCATGCGATACATCAGCAGTGCTGGTGCTCGGTTCTTCATCCACATCGGGAATGTCTTGCGCAGAATCTGGATGTTCAGGACCGGCCGCGGGACCTTAAAGAGTGAAGGGTGAGCAAGGAGCGATTTAACCCTTTCATGCACCCTGTAACATGATAAGGTGTCCACTGGAGTAACCGCTGTCCCTGAAAGGGTTAAACAGCCTTCATTTATAAGAATGGACAAAGGATTGTGACTTCGACACCAAGAGGAGAGAAACTCAATAAACTTGATGTGGAAGACCTACGATGGAGGCCTCATCTAAGCATGTACTTGATTAGATTAAATCTGAACCTCATCCGTCCATTTTCCATACCGGTTAACTGGTTAAGGGTCTTGGGGAATCACAGCGGCAAATGAAGAGATAGACGACCGTTCGCACCATCACTGAGTGTGAAGTCATGTTGTGTGTAAACGTTCCGAATCACCTTGCGTTGATGACGCTGCTTCCGACTCAGCAGCCTCTGATTCTGCTTCTCCTTCTGCAGTAGCATCTGGTTCTGGTTCTGCCGGAGCCTCTGGTTCTGGGTCTGCTGCATCCTCTGCTTCTGGTTCTGCTGCATCCTCTGCTTCTGGTTCTGGTGCTGCTGCTGGTTCTGCTGCAGCTGTTGGTTCTGCTGCTGGTCCTGCTGCAGCATCTGGTTCTGGTTCTGCTGTAGCCTCTGGTTCTGGTTCTGCTGCAGCCTCCGGTTCTGCTGCCTCCTCTGGTTCTGGTTCTGCTGCTGGTTCTGCTGCATCCTCTGGTTCTGGTGCAACATCTGGTTCTGATGCTGGTCCTGCTGCAGCCTCTGGACCTGCTGCATCCTCTGGTTCCGGTTCTGCTGCAGCCTCTGGTTCTGGTTCGGCTGTAGACTCTTCTTCTACTTTTGGAGCTGTTTCTGCTTCTCCTTCGATAGTAGCCTCTGGTTCTTTGTCTGCAGTAGCCTCTGGTTGTGATTGATCAGGTTCTGGGTCTGTCTCTGACGGCGCGTCTGGTTGTGCTTCTCCTTCAGGTGGAGTCACATGTTCATGGGCTCCAGCATCAGTTGGCTCAGGTTCACTTACTGGCACTATTTTCTGTATTTAATGGAGAACCAAAGTTTCATTATTTGAGTGCTGTAATCAAAAGATTAATTAATAGGATAATCGATTCTATTAAAAACCCGAAAGTGAGAGCCCTAAACAACAATATCGTACCACAATGTGCTATCACTAGGAATAATGAAGATCAAATTTAGTGGTTGTCAGTTTACCAAACACACGTGTGACCTCGCAATGAACCAACATGTCCTCACCTCTATTCCAGCTTCAGCATGTAAGTCTAAATTCTCGACAATTTCAGGCAGCAAGGTTGAATGGACGGTATCATCCTCTGTTGGGGCCACGTCATCTAATAAATGGCAGAGAAATAATAAAGTGTGAGCATTTAGTGAAGGGCAAACTCAAAAAAATAAGAATAAAAAAAATACAGCTTGGCAAACATCATACCATAAACAGAAGAATGACCAACACTCAGTTTCCTACTGCCCTAAAACCTTGATTCATGCATTTTCAAAACGTAAGACAATTTCAAATTGGACAATGTCGGTGAAAAATAGCCCTGAGAATGTTTTGGACTACAAACAGCTGTCGTGGGTGATATAGGAGAAACGTTTTCCTGGTTATTTTTAAAATCAACATGTTGAGAGAAAAGCAAATGGATAGAGTTGTGTGAGGCAACTAAATAAATATGATGTGAAATAGCATGTATAAGAAAATAGAAGGGTCTCTGGAGGGCCTCTGTACAGTATATCGTTACCCACCCATCAAGTGTGAAATTAAACCATTCTGAATTTTGCTGCATGGCAACAATGTCGTGAATTTACATAATAATGCTCAACACTGCCCCCCCCCCACCCCACCCCTCCCAATGACATTTTCAGCCAGCTGTTGAAGATTTAGATTCACTTTCATCTTGACCGCTCAGTGAAGTTGTCAACTTGGTGTGTCGTTTGTACTTATGTCCAATGCGCCACATACACACACAGTGTTGCGTAGGAAGCGCTTTGTCAACAAGTGAAAATACTTTTATTGTCTTTACTGGTTTCACCCTCACACACTCTCACCTCTGTTTCCAATAAGGCACTCTTGTGACAACGCTCAGGTTCCATCCCACAGACGAGGTGTAAAAGAAAAAAAATGTCGATAATTTGTGATCCTTGGAGTATTTCAACAAAAAAATTTAAATGTATTCACGTTTCCTTGTATATAGTTTTCCAGATTTTTTTTTTTACATTGTACTCTGAACAGCAGCTAATTTGGTTCGACAATGATATGGCTGTTTGAAATTAAATTGTTATTGATCACGAGGTCTAATGATGGTGGCCATTTGATACGGCTGTTTGAAATTAAAATTGTTATTATTACGAGGTCTTACGATGGTGGCCATTTGATCCTGGAAGAGATGACTGCACAAAGGAAAAACTACGTAATTGTGTTCAACATTAGCGGTTCCACTGCGTGTCGTTGAAAAAGCTACGAAGAAACAAAACAAGACCGCTTGGGATTTGTATAACCGTTGCATTTGTTGTCCATCTGTTACTTCAAACTTTTGCCTGAAAGGTCGAAACAGTTTCACTACATATTCCAACATGCATAACTTCACTCACTCTCTCTCACACACGCACGCACGCACACACACACACACACACACACACACACACACACACACACACACACACACACACACACACACACACACAGCCCCACCCTGTACTAATGTTTTCCTGCTGCAGCCACAATGGGATGACATCAATCATATCCAACCTGCCTCTACAAAAAAAAATAAATAAATAAATAAAAAAAGCCTGCATCCATGCTGGCATTGCGAGTAAGCACTAATGAGAAAATAAGATGAGCCCATCTTTGTTTGGCGCGCGCCTGTGCGTCTTTGAGATGGCGCTGTGACATTTCCCCGATGCGTGTGAGGAGCTGAGACAGCAAAGCGAGTGCCTGATGGGCGGGAGTGTTGTGTGAGCCAGAATGTTTTTTTTTTTTTGTGTAAACCAAGAAGGCAACATTAGCCAAGAGGTGACATTGCCGTAGGAAAAGTGGACTTGCACATTGCATATGAATATTGTTGAATATGGCAGCACGATGACCCAAGTCTGCCTCACATTTCTGCGGCTCAGCGGTCAAATCTTGGATGTTGAGTTGACTGATGATTTTTGCAGCGCTCGCGCGCATTTTCTCCAGCGACTTCATCTTACTACGGTATTACAAAAAAAAAAAAAAAAACATGAATGTTTGCTTGATTAATTAAAAGACTTTTCAATGGTGTCAATTGGAGTGCGGTTGTTTGTGTCCATATAACCTGTGATTGACTGGCAACCAGTCCAGGGTGTAGCTCACTTCTCTCCCAAAGTCATTGGAGATCGGTAAAATAGATGGATGTACTGAATATGATGACTTAAGTGCCATTACTGTTTTCTTTGACGAGGAAACTGACTCTTCAGCTTCGACTCATTATACATGCAAGCTTTGTAACGGAACATCTCTGTTTGCCAAGTGTAGCAGTTGAAGCTCGAAGGGTAGCGCGTCGTGTCGTAAATCCTCCGAATGAGACGGCCTGGCACGCTCTCAGCACAAACACACCTTCAAGGATCAAACACTCCCCTCCCTTCACCCCCTCCAAAAAAAAATAGTTAGGCTTAAACAAACCTACTTAACGTGCACAAACACACCTCTGCTGTGCATTCATGAATTCAAACACACACACACACATACACACACACACAGCAGAAAAGCAACCCGGCATGCATGCTGAGTAAATGTGATAAGAGCGACGACGAGTTTTTTTTTTTTCCCGTACCTCGCGGCACAGTGCCACGTCTAATGTAAACATAAGCGCTCAATCATTTATTTGAAGGGACGTGAAGCGGCAGATGTGTACGAGCTTGTAACGGAACGTTACCAGAAAAGGCTGCAGACGTACTCTCTGTCTTTAGACTTGGTGAAGCAGCATGCGGCTCACGCCCAAGGTTATCCCCGGGCTCTGTGTTCAGACTAACTGTAAACAGTTGTATGTTTTTGATCACAAGGCTGCTTTTGTTTACTGACAACAGCTGTCATGAACTTCAAAGACAACTGAGTCAATAGCACCCATAAGGTGCCTTTGGGAGTTTTTCCATTCAACTTCAAATTCATGGTCGTAGATATTAGGCTGTTCCAAATGCTTATTGGGCAAGCGATATATTGACTCTGCGCTGTTTTTGCTACCATCGGAAGAGAAAATACTGGCCTGTCACGGACAACATGAGAGGACTTCTTACAGGAGTGACAGACTTCTGGGTCCGTAGCGAATGGCGCAAGTAGTATCCCTAAAAAAAACAGGTTGTGCATTTTCCATATGGCTTAGCTGCTTTGCTTTTTCTTTGGCTTCTTGGGACACGCATTCCCAAAAAAGGAACTGCCTCAACCATGGTGTTAAGAGAACGTGTCGTCGCCTGTTACAGAAGGAAGTACAGTATTCTACTGTTTCAATGTTTTACATTACATTGGTACTTAGCTTTTAAAAAAATAAAATAAAATAAAAAATCCACTTGTATGACGTTAAACATTAAAAATGAAATCTTTTTCGGGATTTTTTTTATTTTTTGCAATCACAATGGTTCATGTCTTCCTACGCTTGTGTGAAATTTCAGAGTGGTAAAATGTAACTTCAAAGAGTGCCTGTGCAATTCTGAAAGGGTTTGCCCACTGAACGGTCTAATTCACTTTCCATTATGACCTACGGGAAAATTGTTTTGAAATCCAAATGAACCCGAAAGAATGTCGATGTTTTACGGTAAACATGCAGACAATGACACATAATGAGATTTAGTTTAGAGAATGATGAGTTGATGATGTAACTGTGTAAACCCTTGTAAAAAAACAACAACCAAAAAGTCATCTGCTTGTTTCAGTACTTTGTGTTCTCATTTTTCACTTCCTTTGTTAATTACCATCAGTCACTCTAAAAAAATAACGGCGTGTGTGTGTGTGTGTGTGGGGGGGGGGGGCATAAAAGCCCCTCCCACTCTCTCTCGATACTGCCAACATACAGAGTAACATGCAAGTACAGGCCTAGCCTTAAAGGGAAGTTTTTACTATGTATAAGATGTTCTCCTTCCCTTTAAAGGTGATTCTGTTTTGGATCTGAAGGGTTCTTGCTGCCTCCTTTTCTTTCCTTTTGTCTCTCGCGCTCTCGTTGTTTCCTCGCCACAGCTTTCCCTGGAGGCTTCTGACTCATCCGCGTCTCTGCGTGGTCGCACGCTATCCTCTGAGTCCAAACCACATGGTCGTGTCAAACGAAAGCAAACAAACCCCAGACGTTAACCCTCGACTCGCAACAGTGAGGTGCAACGTAACTTGAGGTGTTGGCTCAAAGTGCGTGAACGACATTCCCGATTAAACTACGCAAAAATATGAGAATGCATCACAACATTTTGATGACGTGATGACTTGCACCCCACAACGTCAATGTAAAATCTAAAATTTTAGAGACAACTTTTAATGACGATTTTGGAGGAGCCCCTGTACAGTATTTTACACCAATACAGTGGTACCTCTGCTTACGAAATTAATTGGTTCGGAAAGAAATTTCGTACCTAGAAAATTTTGTAAGGACAGACGCGTTTTCCGTGTAAATCAGTCGATAGGACCGCACACGTTGTTGTGCTAAGTATATCTCTCCATTGTGTGTTTGTAGGTCACAAAGTGCCGTTTTCCCCAATCAAGCACACGATCACCAGAGGGCAGTTGAATGCGTAAACACACACACCTGGCGCGCATCATACAAACCTTCATCTCGGGGTAGGGAACCTTCCATTTCACCTTTTTAAACACTTATGACTATGTTCTGTACAGCGTCCACATTCGGGCATGCATTAACACTCACTCATATGTTGAGGACCCTGAGGGGAGAGGAAGTGAAGTTGTCGGGTGTTTTCTCCAGCTGGAGGTCAGCTCTGATTACACAGACACTCCCTACGCATATGTCACTTTTGTATCTTTATATAAGGCATAAAGGCTGACTAATTCACACCAACAGGCGAGCAAGCACGTCTCTTGTTTCAGTGTCAACACACATCAACGGTTAAGAAAATGGTGTGATGGGACACAGATGAGTGATGTTGTGTGTGTGTGTGTGTGTGTGTGTGTGTGTGTGTGTGTGTGTGTGTGTGCGCGCGTGCCTGGTTTGTCAGTTAAAGCCAAAGGGAATCAGCAAAGCCACAGTGCCCAACATCTCATCCATCTATCCAATACCAAGCCCACCCACATCAGGCTTGCAATCGCTTTCATTGGCCACTTCTTGAGTTACACATACATAATATATCCACTAGAGGGTGTCAGAGGAACTTGGGGGGAGATGAAACAGCTTTAGAAAACAGAGAACAATTTTTTTTTTTTTTTTAATTGTGCTAAGCTCACTTGATGGAAAATTAATTTTTAAACGATTTGTGAACAAAAAGTTGTGTCTCCCGGGTGTGTGCCACCAATCAAGTGTGACGTTAAAGTAAGTAAATCTTTTATCTGTTTATTTATGAAAAAGGTGTCTGTGAGCGAGCAGTTCTGTATTCAGCCCAATTGTGACATTGCAATTCAGCAAATTTACAAAACACCGCACCCACACAAAGATTTTCCGTCGATGACTTAGAGGCTACGTAAGGCGCAGATCCAAAGCCACTTTCAAGTGACAATCTGAAATTTGAACACTGCACTTTTGTCAGCGATATACAATAAACACATGAGAATGGTTTTAAAATGTGAAAAAAATTGTATGTCTCCTTGAAAGGAAGTATTCATTTTTTTCCAGGTAGAAAATGTGTTCATATGAGCTCATGTTAAAGGGATTTCACGGCTCAAAATATTTTGTTTTATATTTCATTGCAGAGCACTTTTGCGAAGCAATAACTTCATTTGTGGAGCTTTTTTTTTTTTTTTTAAACAGGTTCATCCCAGAGACCCGAAGATTTAGTTTTAAAATTCACATTATGACCTCAATAGTAAAAATCAAAACTCAGGACTATATTGTGAAAACAAAACAAATAATATTACTAGATTAGTATTATTGTATATTCTTGATATTATGAATATGCGATTGGCTGGCAACCACTTCAGGGTGTACCCTGCCTACTGCCGAAGATGGCTCCAGCACCCCTGTGACTCTCATAAGGATAAGCGGTTTGGATAACAAATGGATGGATGATATTATAAATATTCCATAATATATGAATGGATTTTTAACCTTCTAGGACACTCCCCCTGTCTGACGTATGGCATAACGCACTGTAGTTCATTTCCTGTTCCGATGTGCTCCGCACCGTGTAATTTATGGTAATACAACTTCTGAGTTTTGTAATGTTACATGTGGAGTCCCACAGGAATCGGTACGTGGCCCTCTCTTGTTCAGCATCTACATGCTTCCACTCGGTAACATCTTCCATAAATATTTAGTTTTCACTGTTATGCTGATGATACCCAACTATATATATATATATATATATATATATATATATATATATGTATGTATATATATGCCGGGAGAAATAACTAACCCGCACAGTTGCTGTAATCTCGTTCTGTGCCTTGCTGAGATTAAACAGTGGTTGACTTTTAATTTTTTGCTTCTTAACCCTGATAAAACCGAGATGATGATGATTGGCCCTGCTTGAGATCGGCACCTATTCAAGGACACTACTCTCAGCCTTGATAAATGTACTATTACCAAAAGTGCTTCACCAAAAAAAATCTCAGTGTTATACTTGATTCCACGCTCTCAAATGCACGTTGAGAATATAGCAAGAATTGTGTTTTTTTTTTCACCTTTGCAATATCACTACGATACATCTCATTTTATCTACTGGTGACGCAGACATCATAATTCATGCATTTGTTACATCTCGCCTCAGTTATTGCAACCTTTTGCTCTCTGGTCTTCCCATGTCCAGTGTTAAAAGCTTGCATTGAGTACAAAATGTTGCAGCGAGACTCTTGACAAGGACAAAGAAGTTCGATCACATTACCCCGATATTAGCTAACTTGCATTGGCTTGCGGTCCATTTGAGATACAATTTCAAGGTTTTGCTCTAATAAAATATTACACAGCTTAGCACCTTCCGATCTCGTTGACTTAGTGACACCGTATGTTCTGCCCCAAACTCTTCGTTCACAACACGCTGGTCTTTTAGTGATTCCGAGAGCCAAAAAAAAAAGTCTGCATGTTCTAAAACGTTCTCTAATCGGGCTCCAGTGCTCTGGAATGCCCTGCCCACGGAAATTAGAGCAGCTACCTCAGTTGAAATGGAGCCACTTCTCCGAAGGCGTCTCCCTGCAGCGTTTTCATGTTTTTAAATGGACTTTTATATCTTCATAATTAACCCTGTATAGTACAATATTGTGTCAAATGTTTGTCCACTCGGCATCCATTGCAGCCTGGTCATCCTGGGAGGGGGATTCTCCCATCTGTGCCCCCTTTTTAAGGTTTCTCATTTTCCTCAGACTGGGTTTTGGGAGTTTTTCCTTGCCCTCCTGGGGGTTAAGGTCAGGGGATGTCATTAATATTTGTCAACTGTGGGCATGTGAAGCTCTTTGAGACTGTTTGTGATGAAGGGCTAGATAAATAAATGTGACTTGACGCCCTGGAAATGCATATCAAGTAGCTGAAATCCCTTAAATGCGATTTTTGCATAAACCCTCTGAAAGCCTTCAATTAAATCACATGCTTTGAGATCAACTCAATTGGGGTGGCAAAATCACAGTTTATACTGAAACAAGTCTTTTTGGCCGAATACTTCTGCACAGAACTGCAATTAAGTCAATGACAGTGGAGCCACCACAGTCCCTTGAGGCTTCTCCCATTTGTTCACTATCAATTATTATGAATCAATCTTGTTAACACGCTGTTCATGCACACATACACAGTGCAATGGGCAATGAGGTGGATGTCAGTGAAAAATGATATGGATGGATGGATGGGCGCATAGATGGATAGAAAGAGCGATAGATAGATAGATAGAGAAAAAAAATCATAAATACCTTGTGTGTTAGCACGTCCAGCCAACAAGGCTCCAGAGAGCAGCAGGATCCACAGGTATGACATCATTGGAACACGGCTTTCAGCGGTTCGAATGGACCGGGTTATGTTGGACAATAAAGGTGCGAAGGTTCGGAAGTGTGTGTATGTGTGTGTGCTGGAAGCCGTGTCCAAGGTGCTGAGATAAGGTTCTTCCTCGCCTTTCTCCTTCTTTTGTCTGGATTGGAGGAGAGAAGGTTCCGGGCTTTATTGGGGTGGGCGGGGCTATTTTTTTTCTTCCCAAAATCAGACACACCGGGGAAGCGGACAAGACACGAGCCGGCTTTTCTTTTTCCCTCCACTCGGTTTATCTTTTTGTATTTTAAAAACACATTTTGCCTCCTCCAAAGTACACATTAAATCGAGGGTCTAGCGTGAGAAAAATGTCATATACCTTTGAAGAAACTCTAAATGGAAGCACCATTTCCTGAAATGCCATTCATCTTATAAAATTGACAGAGCATGGTTGCGCAAGCTTTGATAGGTCAAACTTGAAAATAAAAATAATTATCGACAAAAATATGCAGTATGTGTGAGAAAACATTTTGATTCAGTGTCAAAAATACATTTAGGGACAAATCCAACCATCTCTGATCAAAAAATTTGCTGTTGACCAGTGTAATTCTTATAGCTGCAAAACACCATCTTACTTGAGTGCATTATTCTGAATAAGAAAACCACGCTTATTTTTTTCTTGCAGAAAGGTTTATTAGTGTTTGACAATCTTGATTACAATACCATTCAAAAAAATTTCCCCGATGAAACAAATCAATTTGGGGAGGAAAAAAACAAAAGTCTTTCACATTATGTTACTGATTCATAATTTGGTCAGATTTTATTTGGCTGTTACCATTTTTGTGATCTACATGTCTTAAAGTGATTATTAAGGGCCAACATATACAGTACATGCATTCTTTGGTAGTCTGTTTAATGGAAGTTTTTTTGGGGAGTGGCACGTTTCAGTCATTAAAAAAAAAAAAAAAAAAAAGTACATTACGCACCAAAACGGCGACCTTGAGTGGCTCGCACTCACTGCGTTTCATTTGCACCACAGAACATATAATAAATTACCAAGGTCCACCCTTCTTATCAGAACACATGTCAAAATGTTAAAGGCTTTGGCTGAGGAATGACGCATTTCTTATCAACCTTATGTATTTGACACAATGGCTTGCAGCTTATTTAGATCTGGGGTGGGAAAACTTATTCTGACACCCCACTCCCACCTTAGTTACTTTGAGGGTTTTATTTCAAAGTTTATAGTGGGTCAGAGCAAATGCTCTCACGCAGGTCATCAATGGCCCATGAGGCGTCGGTACCTTACTCCTGATTTAAAATGAAAAAACCCCAAATGAAATGTTTGAGGCATCACTCATCGCGCCACATTTATTTATCCACAATGAACATCTCTTGTACTTCAGTATTTAACATCACATGTTATTAGTACCCGCTCCCAGGATGAAATGTTTCCGCATCATGCTGAGAGAAGCTGTGGACAAATCTGGAATTGGAAGGTCAAGGATTGGCCCAACTGGTTCACAATGAGAGTTCATCTCCAACAGACTAGTCAGACAGAAAACTGACCAGTGTCGTACCGGCCTGAATATTTGAGTTGGAACATTGTTTTCGGCTGGGGTGGTTGATTGGCTGGAAAGCGGCTCGCTCACATTTTGTTGAAACACTCCTTGGCATTGGACCACACTTGGATTCCCTAAGACAGCGACAGAATACATCAAAATTACGATAATTGAAGGCAAATACATACATACGCTAAATATATGCTTCCTTTTTGTCAGGCAAAAAAAAAAAAAGGCCAGGAACTAACTACCTCAGTTCATAGTTAGGCTAAGCTCATTCTCTCTTTGATAACCTTTTCATAAAGGCAGAATTTTTAATAAATCACATTTTCTCAAATAGTGGCCTAAACTCGAATTGACGATCTGTCTCAATCTCAGTAGGTCAAGGAAAAAAAATCAGGTGGAGTCACGTTCTATAGAAGATGTTTATTTCCCTAAATCAACCCCAAAACTGAACTCAAATATTACTGTATAGTTTGATCAAACATAGGAAAATACTTTTCACAAAGCCAATGCCTACCTAATTTCTGTCTCAAAAATCATTTTCATTGTTTCTCAATTTGTATTTTTGTTAGCTAAAAGCTGTGATGCTTGAAAATACACATACCGGTACATTAAAATAGAAAAATCATATTTGACTTTGTTTGCAATGAATGTATATAGTATATACAAGTTTCACTTTTTGAAGTGAACTACTGAAATAAATTATCTTTTTCCCTGAATATACAAACTTATTAAAATGCACCAGTGGATGTGAGGGACAAAATGATACACCACTGCAAAGAGCAAACCTACTGAGATGCTCTTGTATCGGCTCAATAGATGGTGCCAGAGTACCTAATGTTGTGCACCACTAAACCTACCTTCTTACACATGCTAATTTGCATAATGGCATAGCTGATGAGCGCCTCACGCAGATCTCTGTCCTTCTGTTCCTTAAACCGCTCGATGTCTTCCCAGGCTGTTTGCACAAACTCTCTACAAAGAAAAAAAATGACAGCTCTCAAGAGAAGAAGCCCTTGGATCGCTTGCCCTTATCCGCTGACGACCAAAAAAAAAAAAAAAAAAAAAAAAAAAAAAAAAAAAAAAATTCAGAACGAGCAAACAAGGTTGAGGATATGAGCTCACTGGCACTCTGCGTTTTTTTCCTTGAGCGCCTGCTCTCCCTCCTGGATGCTCTGCTCCAAAGCCGCCAGCCTGCTCTCCCTCTGCTCCTGGCTCTCCTGGCCAAACAGTTTACTGGTCATCCCCTTCAGGGAGAAGACACGCACCATCTACGCATATAAACACACGCACAGTATGTCGTGAAGCATAGAAAAAGTTTCGTTTTGCAGTGCTATAACTGTCTCATTCGCTCATAAATCAATGTGTTACCCCAGTGGCAAGTTCTTCTCTCTGCTGCTTCTTGGAGGCCAGATCCTGAGCTGCCACTTCCAACTCATACTGGATCAGCTCATGTTTCCGGCACACCGACCTGAGCCCACAGACAAAATACTACAACAATCCATAGACATGATCGTCTGCTTCATGAGACTCGGTTAGTCAGATTTATTTTTTTAAGTGTCTATGTAAGTTCAGTGATCAAGAAGTGTAGTCCACATGTTTAGACTTCATATTTCATGAAACTATAACAAATTAAAGTGACGAAGCCACCGATTTGTTCACATTATTGTTGCAATCTGATTTATAACTTATGATTATGTCACACTTGCTTTGTACAATTTTGTGAAGTTGTCATAACGAATGCTTAAAAGACTGCAAGTCAAAGTGTTAGTCAGTTAACAACTAATTGAAGAAGATAAACGGTCTCAAATTAATTTACGCTTCATTTGCTTTGTTCATTAAACTGCTGTCCCCTCGACCTGACTTTTGGATAAGCAGAAGAGAATGAATGAGTTTAATTTTCAACATCATTAAAAAAACTTACCGCACAGCCTCGGTGTAGAAGAGATATTCCTTCAGTTGGTCAGCATAGTGCTCTTCTTCCTCTAAAATATCATCTATCGATGCAGCGTACCTGGCAACACACACATCAAAAAGGTATCAACCAAAATTATACTTAAAAAACGTGGTTGGTTTTGCACCTCATAACGAACATAGAACCATTATTTAAATGGATAATTCTACTTTAATGTCAATTTGTTCTTTCCGAAGATACCCCCACCCCGCAGCATCTCGCTCACTGTTAACTGGGATAGACTCAGTGCTTTCGAAAATGGATAGCTGGATGTCAATTTATACTTACGTGTCCATGTGGTGACCGGCACTCTGTAGACCATCTCCCATCTCTTTCTCTATAGCACTCCATTCACTGGAGAGACAACACAAGACAAATGACGGCAACCTAACATCTTGTCGCCGTCAACCAGGATATTTCAAACATGTCGATGCAGCACCCCCTGGTGGCACTAACAAGTAATGCGGAGAAACACAAAGCACTCACCTGAAAACTCGTCCATAGTTTCCATGGACTTTGTAGACGCCATACAGTCTGTCTGCTACTCTCTGCAACAAACGAAAACATCTATGAAGAGCACAATTGTAAAATATCTTTCAACTTCTAACCAATCCCTCACCTCAACGCCAAACAATTTCGAATTGCTCAACCACACCGTGTTGTGCGGATACTCACCGCTCTCACCCTGAGAAGTTGAGAGATGGCGGTGTTCAGTTCATCGCTATACTGTTTCAGTGCCGTAAAGCGCCTGGGAAATGCAGCAGCAGAACATCCAGCTCAGCATCTCTTGTGTTTATACGGCAATATGAACTGAACTCACTCAGTGAGGTAGGCAAAAGAAAAGGTGAAGAAAATGACACCTACTTGTCAGGGCTTTTGACTCTGAACATAGCACTTAGGGACTTCAGTCGAGAGTCCGCCTAACAAGAAAAAATATTTTCAATCTGCATTTTGATACCATGTTTCCAACTTCAAACTTTTTAAAATATGGAGGATCATAGCTAACAACAAATGAAAGCCTCACATTCACCACCTGAAGGATTGGCCTTCTAAAAAGCATTTTCCTATGTGCTTAATACATTTGTATTGAACTCCTGAAATAAAATAATTTTTCTAGATCCTCTAATTTATAAAGATGCAGCTGTGTGCAGGACCGAGTCCTACTGAATAGAAATACAATACCTTATCTTGGAAACCCGTCTCCAAAACTGCATCCCTCCATCTTTTCTCCTGAATAAAAAATGATTGACGGGTGAATAGAGGAGGTTTTCAGTTGACAACAAAGAACTAGGGGGTTGCCCAAAATGGACAAAACTCAAGCATTTTAAAGCAATTTGCTTCAGAAAACATCAATTTGCGTGACGTCACAAGTTCAGTGAGCATCTCGATGATGAACCGCTTTTTCTTTTTCTTTGGCTTTTTGTGTTTTTATGCCACCACAAAAGAGTGGAACATGGTACACCCATCTCTGCTGCACAATACAATCCAGCAAACACTAGAGGAAATCAACAACTGTTTGTTAGGAAAGACTACAGAGATTCACAAGTGAGTCTTATCAGTAGTGCATTATGGTCTTTTTTTGATTTTTATCATTTACAGAGTGTCAAATTCGTTGGTACCCATTTGTTTGTATGAGACAAATCCGCAATGGTCACTGA